TGACTTCCTACAGAAAGCTGGTAAATGAGGGCCCAAAAGGTCTCCTGGGGTGTCATAGCTTATCTTGGTGAATCTACCCAGATCTTGGCCCTCAGGCTTGCAGGCTCCACAACTTGATGGTTTAGCCTATCTAGAATAGATCTATATCTTAAAGATAAACTCACATTAACCAAACTTTCAAAGCTACTGGATAAGCTCAGTATACTAGTTCTTTTTCTGTAATAATTAATTTAAAATATGCCATGAACATGTTTAGATAGTGCATTTTCTTCCTGTAGAAGCTAAGATGTCAAATGAGTATAGAGTCAGAACAAGGGGGCTTAGTTTGATGATTCATATATGTAGTGGCACCAGGTTTTAATAGCCCCTTCCATTCACATTCACTGGATGAGAATATTTAAAGCCAGTAGTTTTCACTTTGTTTCCACAATAGGAATAATCTTCCTATTGAGACCAGCATATGAACTTGGTTGTACTTATTTTTTATTTTATTAAAACAATTTTTTAAAATATTGAAAGCTATAAAATTAAGATAACCAATGCTAGTCCCAACTTGTTTTATTTTAAATATTTTATTTATTTATTTATTCATTCATTTATTTTTGAGTCAGAGTCTCACTCTGTCACCCAGGCTGGAGTGCAGTGACACGCTCACGGCCACCGCAGTCTCAACCTGCTGGGCTCAGGGGATCTTTTTGCCTCAACCTTCCAAGTAACTGGAACTACAGGTGTGTGCCACCATGCCCAGCTAATTTTTCTTGATTTATTGTAGAAACGAGATCTCACCATGTTGCCCAGGCTAAGTCTCGAACCCCTGGGCTCAGGCAATCCTCTTGCCTTGGGCTCCCAAAGAGCTGGGACTACAGGTGTGAGCCACCATGCCTGGCTATTTTAATTCTTAAGGAACTTATAATGTCTTTTTAATAGCTTTAGGGAGGTACAAATAATTTTTACATGGATGCATTGCATAGTGGTGAAGTACCCACCTTTACACACTGTACTCAATAGGTGATTTTTTTTCATCCTTCCACCCCTTCCTACCTTCTCCCTCTGAGTCTCCAGTGTCCACTATACCATTCTATATGCCTTTGCAGATCCACAGCTTAGCTCCCACTTATAAGTGAGAACATGCAGTGTTTGGTTTTCCATTCCTGCTTTAGTTCACTTAGGGTGAAGTTCTCCAGTTCCATCCAAGTTGAGGCAAAAGACATTTCATTCTTTTTGTGACTGAAAATATTCCATGATGTGTGTGTGTGTGTGTATCACATTTTCATTATCACTGATCAGTCAATGGGCATTTAGGTTGTTCCCACATCTTTGCAGTTGTGAATTGTGCTGCAATAAATATTATTGAGTGTTTACTATGAGTGGAGGTGTCTTTTTTGTATAATGACCTGTGTTCCTTTGGGTAGATATCCAGTTGTGGGATTGCTGAGTTAAATGGTAGATCTATTTTTAGTTTTTTGAGAAATCTTCATATTGATTTCCATGGAGGTTGTACTAGTTGACACTTCCACCAACAGTGTATAGGCAGAACTTATAATTTGTTAAAGTGGAAAAGATATTAGACATCATCTGGTCTTATGTCTTTAATTTGCAGGTGAATAAACTAAGACTCAGAAAGAGTAATTAACTTAATAAATCTGTTGGTTGATTTTTTTTTTAAGTTGGAGTCTCACTCTGTCACCCAGGCTAAAGTTCAGTGGCACATTCACTGTTGGGCTCCAGCGATCCTTCTGCCTCACCTTTCCAAGTAGCCAGAACTACAGGCGTGTCATACCATGCCCAGCTAGTTTTTGATTTTTTATTTATTGTAGAGCAAGGTCTTGCCAAGTTGCCCAGGCTGGTCTCGAACCCATGGGCTCAGGCAATCCACTCACCTCGGCCTCCCAAAGTGCTGGGATTACAGGCTGAGCCACTGAGCCCTGCCTGGTTGATTTTTTTAACACGACCCCCTATGTACTTACTTTTCTCTCTTACATGATTCCTAGAAACCTGATTGGGTTTCTATGCATCTGCAATAACTTTCCACCAGGAAAGCGATTTATATGGTAGAAAAAAATAGAGACTCTATGTGGGCTGCTTGACTAGCTGTCTGGTAGCTCTTTGCTTCAACAGATGAATTTCTTGAAAAATAATTAGCATTTGTACTCTGGCAAAGTGCACTGGAAAATGTAGACAAGAAGAACTACTGTTCTGGCTTTTCCAGTCTTTGAAACAGGCTAAAACTTGTGTCTTTGTTCCACTGTAAAAAATATGGTGCTTCTCTTTATATAGTATCTCTGTTTGGGCATGTTAGATGGTTCTATAGGCTGCAGGTTACTAATTAATAGCCAAAGCTAATTGGGCCATTGTTTTGTTAAGCACTGGCCAGGCCATGTGTTCTTTGAGCTTTGGCCCAAACCCCTACCTTGGGGAGGTGAATCTTCTCTCTCTCTCTCTCTCTAATTGACTTTCTAAACAAACTATATTTTCTAATCTTAAAAAAAAGCTGTTTGGCTAAATACTGGTTAAACAAGAAGATAGAGTGGTGTTTGCAAGAAGGCTGTTTGCAGATAGAAGATGAAGGCAGCTAAAGCAAAGTTAGGAAGTATCAACAGGAATGAGTAATGTTATCAAGTGTTTATTAATGCCAGGCATCATGCTAGGTGCTTGCATATGCTATATTACTTTCTCTTCATTCCATTCAGGAGTTATCATTATTACCCACATCTTAAGATGAGGAATCTGAAATGTACAAAGATAAAGTTACCTCTCCAAGATCACCCAGTTAATAAATGGTAGATTCAGGATTGAACCCCATGTATATCTAATTCCAAAGCTGGGGCTCTTAATAATTATATCATAATCTATTAAATAATTTTCTCTAGGTATCTTAGAATCTTGCAGTGCTAAGACAAGTAAATTGTATTTAGATTGCCTTTCTGACTAAACCAGAATAGGAATTGAGGCGCTAGCAGGAGTTGGGGAGTTCTGTGTTGCTTCATGGACACAGACAAGATAAAACTAAAATAATGACATGGTTTTTCAGAAAGTCATGAACAGAAAGCATACCAGACCAGGACTAAGGAAGCTCTGTCTATCTTGTCTGTGGAACTGCATACGACTGAATGATTTATCTACTCAGCATACCTGTGTGTGCCTACTTCTTGTAGAAAATCCAAATAACTGCTCTTTTTATTGCACTGAAGAGGCTGACAGGAGAGTAGTATTGTTGTTGTATACTTGTGCTATTATTTTTTCAGCTATATTCAGATATAATTGATCCAAAAAATATAGATTTATGGTCTACAATGTGATGTTTTGATATTTGTATACATTGTGAAATAATTAAATCAAGTTAATTAACATATCTGTCACCTCACATTCTTTTTGTGGTGAAAACATTTAAGTTCTGCTCTTTTAGCAATTCTCAAGTATACAATACATTATTATTAGCTATAATTACCATGCTATATGATAGATCTCCAGGATTTATCCCGTCTATCTGAAACTTTGCACCCTTTGACCATCATCTTCCCATCCCATGCCCTGCCCGCCAGCCCTTGGCAACCACCATTCAACTCCCTGATTCTATGAGTTCAACTTTTTAGATTTTATGTATAAGTGAGATCCTACACTGTCTGACTTTCTGTGCCTGGCTTATTTCACTTAGCATAATGTCCTCAAAGTTTATCCATGTTGTCACAAATGACAGGATTTCTATCTTTTTTTAAGGCTGCTCAGTTTCCATTGTGTGTGTGTGTATTTATATACTTTTATTTATATATTTTCTGTATTAATTCATCCATTGATTGACATTTAGGAAAAAGTTTGACATCAGTCTTTCCAGAGATTTTTTGGGATATGAATGACCCCAAAAGCAAAAATAGACAAATGGGATGGCATCAAGTTAGAAAGTTTCTGCACAGCAAAGGAAACAATCAACAGACCTATAGAATGGAAAAAAGTATTTGTAAACCATATATCTGATAAAGAGTTAATATCCAAAATATATAAGGAACTCAACTCAATAGCAAGAAAACAAAGATCCCAATTTTAAAATAGGCGAAGGACCTGAATGGACATTTCTCAAAAGAAGACATATAAACAGGTATATAAAAAGACATACAACAGGTATGTTTTTCAAAGTTCAACATTTTGGGAGGCTGAGGTGAGAGAATTGCCTGAGTCTACGGGTTCGAGACCAGGCCCGGGCAACTTGGCAAGACCTCATCTCTACCATAAACCAAAAAATTATCCTCGCCGGGCTCGGTGGCTCAGCCTGTAATCCCGCGCTTTGGGAGGCCGAGGTGAGTGGATTGCCTGAGCCCGCGGGTTCGAGACCTGCCTGGGCAACTCCAGTCTGGGCGACAGAGTGAGACTCCAACCAAAAAAAAAAAAATTATCCTGGCATGGTGACGCATGCCTGTAGTTCCAGCTACTCGGAAGGCTGAGGTGGAAGGATCACCTGAGCCCAGCAGGTCGAGGCTGCAGTGGCCATGAGCGTGCCACTGCACTCCAGCCTGGGTGACAGAGTGAGACGCAGATTCAGAGAAAAAAAAAAGAGAGAGTGTGTTGTTGTTGAGTAGTAACTGGATAGTGAAAGGAAAGCAATGATAAAAGCTAGGAATTTACTAAGATTTCTCTTCTGCCAATAGACACACACACACACACACACACACACACACACATTCATGCTGTACTTCTTCACATATTAACTCTTTCAACTCTCCATTTTAAATATATTCTATTCTAAAATTGTCCATGCTTCCATTGCCCTTCATTGGTATGAAAATAAGAAGGTTAATTGTGCCTAACTGCTTTTGCTCACATGGTTTTCCTGGTATTTTCGCTCTAATTTAACAGAATTTAAATTATATAAA